GATAGATAGATAGATAGATAGATAGATAGATAGATAGATAGATAGATGGATGGAGGTTAAAACATCTCATCTTGCAGAAACTTCTTTTTTAACCACCATGTTGATTCTTTAGCTATTTCAAAATCTGCTCCACACCCTTTCCTTTCTTTAGTTCTTTAAAAAAATTTATCTTTATATAAGGATTCAATTGAAACCTGACAAAAATAATTTAGACGAATCATTAAAGAAAAACTGTCTCTGTTTATATAAATCTTCAAAATGTAAATAATGTAATGTAAATGTAATAAACGTTTAGCTAATTTATGTGCCCCTAATGGGCCTCAGCCCGAACAGCTCTGGTCCACCTCCGTCCACAGGAGCAGCTTCCCTTCATCACTGGTGGAGGAGCTCCACCTTCTGGCCCTGGTCATCATGATGATGATGATGATGATGATGATGATGAGTCCTCCTTGTTAAGGGAAGCTGGGTTTTATTTCCTGTCCCTCCAGCCTCAGCCTGTCCAGGAGACTGGTTCTGGTTTGGATGAATTTCATCCTGTTAAAGGTTGTTTTTTCCCTTCCAACAGCAACTCATGATGGATAGAAAAGAGACTTTGGGGCCGTCTGCCAGGTTCCTCAACTCTCTGATGGGACTCATTTAAATGAAAAGGCATTTTAACGCTGAATGAATGTGAAGATAATTTTTTTTTAAAGGGTAAAAAAACTGATGTATGTTTACAATTTTCTGGATCTCATTGATTTGTATGTTTATCTTTCTGTCAAAAAGAGTAACAAAATAAAAGTAAACGTCATGTTAAGTGTGTGTATGGATTCAGAGTAAGGAAAACAGTGTGTCCGGTGGGTAAATCTCCTCCTTTGCAGCGCGGTGGTGGCCGGTAACATAAGCTGCCTCCTGGATTTATGGCCCTGCTTTGTTTATTGTTTAATAAAGAGCTCCTTGTCTCCCTCTGCAGAGATCTGGGCCAGCTATGGAACCGCTGGGGCCTCAGCCTGTGCTGAAACCCGGGCTCCAGCTGCCAGCAGGACTCATTAATAACCACAAACCCCCGCTGACACCAGGAACAGGCAGGCCTACACACCTGTCCACACTCCCATCAGCAGCTAGCAGAGACCGCTGCTCCAGAGCCGGAATAAATAAATAAATAAATCAATAAATAAATACAGCTTCAGAGCGCAAGAGCTGCTGGGATCCTGCTGTAAAACCAGGAAAAAGTCCGGTCTCAGACACGTTTATCAAGGAGCTAAACAGCTAATGGAAGTTTCATGTTTGAGGTTTTTATTTACAGTTTTGTTTCTTGTCTTTAGCTTCCTGATTCTAGTGTGTATCTTCATTTTGTTCATTTGTCCACACAGAACTCACCCTGTGTCTGCCCCCGATTTGTTGTTTAGTTTGAATTCCTGTGTTTTTGGAGATCCTTTGACATGAAATCCCAGTTTTCCAGGCTTCCTTTCTTTCCTCCCGTGTTCCTTCCCAGGCCTTTGCATTTTGGATCCGTCCCTCCTCACTTTCCCTCTTCTGTTTCCACAGTTTGGGAGGCAGAAAGAAACCCATTTTACCCTTCATGCTAAAAAAGAATCAGTGCAAAAATAGAATAACTATTGCACCATTCATAAATGCCTGGTTAATAATCGTTTGGTTAATTGTTACCAACTCAAATAACCAACAGCCCATAACCAAACAGGAGTAACTCCACCTACCAGTTTAACCAGTAAATGCAGAGCTGGTCCAGGGTGAATAGAAGAGTTTTCTAATGATGATTGTTTCCCAGCAGATGTTAAAGTGAATAGTCAGCATTGTTTATTTATTCTGTCTACAGTAATAGCCATCTGTATGTATTGTATATTCTTAGTACATATTGAGCTGTAAACTCTGTTATAGTAACAACTATCTGTATATTATGTTCTGGTACATATCTGTTTATGATTTCTTACCCAATTCAACCCCACTAACTCTAACATTCCCCTCATTCTGCACACTTTTATTCATTTAATTTTTTATTCATTCATTTCTGATGTTTTTATTTATGATATATTTATGACTCTGTATGTTTCAATGTTGTTTTAATGTTGATCATCTCTGTAAAGTGACCGTGAGCATGTAACTATTATTATCATTATTATCTGTAAAAACTCTATTTATAGTAATATCCACCTGTATATTATGTTTAGTACATATCCAGCTGTACACTTAGCTCTCAATACTAGTTATCTATATATTATATTCATAGGACAAATCTATAAAATTCTGCTTATAATAGTATTTATCTCTATGTTTATTAGACCTAAACTGTTCCAGTTATCTTCCTCCTAAAGGCAGTTGTTTCCTCCCTGTGTCTCCTAGTGCTGCTCTTGGTGGAACTATAGTTCTTCTGGAAATAACTCAGAGTGTGAGCTGCTCTGGTTAAAGCTGGGAGATTCCTGCTGCTGTTGATGGGGTCTGGAGCTACAGAGATAAAGCTGAATTCATGTGTCCAGGAGATGGATCCCTTCTATAAAGGACCTCCATCTCTCCCCCTCACAGGGAACATCTCACATTTAGTTTGAAAGGACACACGTGTGCATATCTGGTGCCTTTACAGTAGCTGTACTAGCTCCATTAGGGACACATAATGTTTGGAAATCTTCAACGTTCCCTTCAGACCTCTTGTGGAGAACGTGAGACCCCTCCCGTCGGTTTTCCCTCAGACTGGTTGCATTGATTGCTGGCAGCCACTGGTTGGAGCCTTCGCACCGTGGACGGCCTGAGGCCAGCAGAGACCCTCCTCCAGGGGGCCGGGGCTCCCAGACCCCTCTGCCTGACCACTGTCCTCCGCTCCACATCCAGGATGGACAGCTGACCAGCTCTTAGACCGAACAGGTACCCAGTGAGAACCGGATCCTCATCTCTATTCTTTGGGCCTTTTTTGTAACTAAGCTGGAGCTATCCAGGTGTTTCTTTTCCCATTACTTCATTATATTTGCATCTATTATTCAATTGTTTTGCACCTGTTAATTCTATTATTTTTCCATTTCTAATCTGCATGGTCTGTGTGGGTGTTTGCATGTTGCTTTTATGCTATTTGATGTAGTTTACAGCAGCTGTGGACAGGTCCAGTCATGGAGGTGGGCTGTGCTGGAGGTCTGGAGGAGCTGTGCCCGGTGTGTGGGGACAGAGTGTCGGGGTACCACTACGGCCTGCTCACCTGTGAGAGCTGCAAGGTAAACCCCAGCTCGCTTTCCACCTTTTTCCCTCAAGTGTTTCATACTGAATCTTCAGAAGTCGATCTTTATTCTTCATCTCTTACAGGGGTTCTTCAAAAGAACGGTTCAGAACAACAAGAGCTACGCCTGTGTGGAGAACCAGCGCTGCAGAGTTGATAAAACTCAGAGGAGACGCTGTCCGTTCTGCAGGTTCCAGAAGTGCCTCTACGTCGGCATGCGCCTCGAAGGTGAGAAGCATGTTTTATGACAATACGGATGTCCAGCTGTAACGTCCAGTGTGGAAATAACACCAATAAGTGTGTTCTGTGAGAAAATGTCAGCTCTTTCTGGCGGCATGTTCACAGGAAGCCGTCGTCTAACTGAAGAAGAGACACTGTTCCAGTAGAGTCTGTGTCATGTTTGCTGCGATTTCAGCCTGAAAATGTCCCCAGAAATGTTTAATTTGACTAACAACAGTAAGTTACAGTTGTTCTAACTTAAAGGAAAGGCAAGAGAATTTTCCTGGTAAACACAAAAACCCTATTTTTCTCATTTCCCTGCACTCATCACTGAGAACAGGACAATAACGAACTACTAGAGGACTTAAAAATAATAATAAGAAACAAAAACAGATTTTTATCATGTAAAACAACTGATGGATCAACGTTTTTGCATTAAATAAATTCAATTGAATTACAATAATATCAATATTTTCAGGTGTTTGACATCTCAGGCCGCCTTCAATATAAAAAGACAAGTCATTACCAGTTATTAGTCACAGTAAAACTATGTCAAACAGAGTTTAGACAGATGACTGAGCTGGAAGAGCCTCCTGTTCTGTTCCCAACGTGAGCAGCTTCATTTGAATCAGTCTTAAATCCTTAAATCTGGCTCCTCCTGTGACTTCTATGCAGATAATTCCCACCTTCCTGTCATTCGTGGACTCTCTCAGCTATCAGTTGTCTAATGAACTCTTAAAAAGGTGTTTTAGTGTCAGCCCATATGCTTTTATTTTGTTGTTTCCTTCCGTTTTTATTGTTAAATGCTTTAATTTTTTTAGTAGTAGTAGGTCTAACGGAAAAAACTGTTAACCTGGTTAACGGTCACTTAATGGTGTGGTTAAGACTAAACCACACATTTGTTCCCTGGGTGGGAAAAGGCTATGTTACATAAATACGTTTTATGTGGAGTTTTGTGTGTTTTGCTGACTTAAATTATTGTTTTTTTTCCATACTAATGTTTAAATTAATTGAGACTTAAGCATCTTTTGTTTATTTTGTGGGTAAAACTTTATTTGTAAGATCTGGTTTAGTTTGTCTGTCCATAGCCTGACACACAAGATGTCCAATAATAAATAATAAATCATTATAAATAATAATAATAAATCTGCTATTGTGCTATTTAAGCTCAGAGAGATCAGGCCGGTTAGGCCTAAAAACTTTTCCCGTCTGCTCCTGAGAAACTGTGTCTGTCTGGAGCTTATCGGGTCAGAAACAAATAACTGATGTAGTCCAGCAGGGTTTTGGGTCTGACAGCACCTCTAACCACCAGAGAACCAATCAGGGGTCAGGGGAACCAATCAGGGATCAGGGGGACAATCAGGGATGGGGGGGGGGACACTCAGACAGGGGACACACAGGAAGTGACCTGAAACAAGGGGGTGTACCTTTCAAAATAAAACAGAAAATGACCAGACCTGGCTTCCCTCACTCTTTTGAGGATCTTCTGCTTCTCCTGAGGGATAAAGACGAGATCCATGACCCGTTTAGAGCAAAAATCCTCAGAATATCTCTGCACTTCTTTACCTGCTGCCTTTAACGGACCCTCCTCCCCCCAGCTGTGCGCTCTGACCGGATGCGGGGGGGCAGGAACAGGTTCGGGCCGCTCTACAAACGGGACCGGGCCATGAAGCAGCAGAGGAGGGCCCTGATCCAGGCCAGGTTCCCTCCCCTGACCCCCACCGCCCCCCAGGGAGGGCCTCCCTCAGCTGGGGGTTTCCCCTGCCCCCCCCCCTCTGACCGCAGCCCCCCGGCTGCAGGGCTCCTCCTGGACCCACACACTGAGCTGGTGCTGACAGTCCCCGGGGTGTCCCGGCTGGTCCTGGGGGGGGCCGCCCCCCCGCTGGAGAGGGGGGGCTTCAGCCGGATGTTCTCCGGGGTGGAGCAGCTGCTGTGCGCCCTGGTGGGGTGGGCACGCACCTCCATCTTCTTCAGGCAGCTGAAGGTAAGCTCTGCTATACTATCAATAAATATGATAAATAATCCAAATAAAATAATAAAATAAATAAGATAGATAATAATAATAATAAATGAGATAAACAAATCTAATAAAAATAAATAATAATAATAATAATAATAATAATAATAATAATAATAATAATAATAATAATAATAAATAAATAAATACATAAATATAATAAGAATAAATAAGCTACTGTAAATAGAGGGACTCCGAGCCTGAGGCAGGTCTGGGGTCTCCCTGAAGAGGACACACTGTTCCAGGAGAGTTTCAGCCTGAAAATGTCCCCAAATATGTTTTATTTGACTAACAACAGTAGCCTACAGTTGATCAAACTTAAATGAAAGGCTAGAGAATTAGCCTGGTAAACATAAAAAACATTTTTTCCAATTTCCCTGCACTCATCACTGAGAACAGGAAACTTAAAAATAACTTTAATATTGAAAAACAACTGATGGATCAACTTTTTTGCATTAAATAAATTCAATTGAATTACAAAAATAATAATAATCACTCTGAAAACGTGAAAGACGAAGCTAAGAACAAAATACCAAATAATCCCCTCTGAATGGAAAAAAGGGAACAGTCTCACAACCACACAAACTCAACTAACAACAAGGATCTACACTAAGTGGAGATCCTTTTGTATCTATACACTAAGTTTAAATCCTTTCTGTCCCACTTGTCCGACCGGGACGTTATGTGGGACTTTATTTTTTTGCAGTTCGTCTTTGTTCTGGACCTTTATTCTCAGAGCTGGGCGGTGATGAGCTGTGAGGGGGGGTCTGAGCTCTGGTTTTCTCCTCAGGTGGGGGACCAGATGAGGCTGCTGCAGGGCTGCTGGTGTGAGCTCCTGGTCCAGGACGTGGTCTCCAGACTGCTCCTGCAGGGCAGAGGGGGGGGCAGCCTGGACCTCCTCCCCGGGCCGGAGGTGACCCCCCTCAGCTGCCTCCAGCCCCAGAACTGACCCGGGACCTGTGGGTTCTGAACTGTCTGATGTCAGAGTGTGTTTCCCTGTCCAGGTGGAGCTGTCTGACATGGTCTCTCTGGCCGGGCCTGCTCTGGTCAGCCTGACACAGCGAGGGGCCGAGCTGCTGGACAGCCTCAGCTTTCTGGAGGTGGACCCCCAAGAGTTCACCTGCATCAAACTGCTGATCCTGTTCAACCCAGGTTAGTGGAAGGGGGGCTTCTCCATTCGGTTTTACACTAAACACCTGGACATTCCTTCTTATCAGATTCTCTAATGGGGTCGGGGGGGACTGGAGCCTATCCCAGTAGCCAATGGGGAGAGGCGTGGTCACCCTGGACGGTCCCCAGTCCATCACAGGGACACACAGAGACACACAAGGACCAACAACCACACACACTCACACTAAGGGCAGTTTGGAGTCCAACAACCTAACATGCAGGTTTTTGGAGGGTGGGAGGAAGCCGGAGAACCCGGAGAGAACCCACAGACACAGGAGAACATGCAGACTCCACCCAGAAAGGTCCTGGTTCCCCTGGGACTCCAACCCAGAACCCTCTGGTCCTGGTTCCCCTGGGACTCCAACCCAGAACCCTCTGGTCCTGGTTCCCCCGGGACTCCAACCCAGAACCCTCTGGTCCTGGTAATCCGTAGTTCTGATGGTTTCTTTCCTTTTCCCTGCTTTCTCAGATGTGAGGGATCTTGAGGACCCCGGCTTTGTGGCTGGTGTCCAGCAGCAGGTTGCGGGGGTCCTGAGGGAGTCCCCCCTGAGGCCCGGCTCCCCTCAGGACCCGGGCCGGTTCCCCCGGCTGCTGCGGGGGCTGTCGGAGCTGCGGGGCGTCAGCCGGCAGGTGGAGGAGGTCCTCTGCTGCCGGCAGCTGAGGGGGGAGGTTCCCGGGAACAGCCTGCTCAGCGAGATGCTGCAGGCAGGAGGAGCTGCCGGGGTCTAGGAGCAGAATCACACTAGAGAGAATCCCATCTAACCTGTAGAGCAGGGTCTAGTTTAGATTCAGTTCAGCTTATCTCTGTAGCTCCAGACCCCAACAACAGCAGCAGGAATCTCCCAGCTTTAACCAGAGCAGCTCACACTCTGAGTTATTTCCAGAAGAACTACAGTTCCACCAAGAGCAGCACTAGGAGACACAGGGAGGAAACAACTGCCTTTAGGGGGGAGAACCCTGGACTAGAACCGGAGAGAGAGGGCAAGAGAGAGAGAGAGGGGGAGAGGTCAAGGAAGAGAGAAAGAGAGGGAGGGCAAGAAGATTGAGTGAGGGAAAGAGAGAGACAAAGGGAGGGAAGGAGAGAGAGAGAGCGAGAGAGGGAGAGAGAGCTCCACAGCTCCAGGAGGTGATGGAGGAGAGGGAGGAGGAGCACAGGACTACGGAGAAGAGAGGAAGTCCAGTTAGTGACATCATTAAAGGGAGGCTGGAATGAGAGAGAGAAAGGAGAGGAGGAAGAGGTGCATGATGGGAAATCCCCGGCAGTCTGGGCCTCTGGCAGCAGAACTAAGGCTGGACTCACCTGAGCAGCTTTAACCAGAAGCTCCACCAGAGAGGAGAGTCTGGAGCTGCTCTGAGACCAGAATGCTTCATATTCTTCTGTTCAACGCTGAATAAATACTTTAATATTGGCTTTATCTCCTTTGTCATTTGATTAATACGCACACAAACATACGAGACTTCCCTCGAGTTCCTGGTTGTATCAGAATCAGAGTCTTCATAGGCTCAATTCAAGTGGGACATTCTTCATACCAGATTTCCTTTTTTGGATGGATAAAGTGATCTCTCTATCTATTTTCTCCACACAGGTCACAGCTAGTGTGTCATATTTAAGGAAAGAAGTCTCTTCAAGATTAGTCTAAGTGGTTAACTTAATCTGATCAACATCTCTTTAAATTTGGATTTTTTTATCATTCGCTCAGTGAATTCATTCATTAAATACCTTTTTTCCAAACCTAATGCATTTCTCTTGTGAGGTTTTCCAGATTTGAGCCTTTTTTCCTTATCGGTTTAACATTAAACAGAGCAGAGGACTTGTTCCTGTGGCTTCACAGTTTAAAAACTATTATAAAAGGTTATATATTATTATATTGAAGGTTTAGTTAATTAGGTTTAGGACAATATCCACTCAGCTCATGTTAGTTCCCTAGTTTGACTAAATCACATTTTTCTTTTTGTCATTCTGTACTTCTGATCGTGAGAATATTTAATGAAATGCTTGGAGAGCTTTTTATGAAGTGACGTTACATAAATTGGATTATTTTGAAAACTGATCTAATTAGATTCTTTCTTTCTTTCATTTAATTTAATCTAATTGAACTGTATTATAATATATATTAGCTGGAATGGATCAATAATGTCCCTTTTGTGAAAAGACACTAAATACATAAAATAAAGTTTAATTGAGACTGTTGAAGAGATTTGCTATATTTATTTAACCAGCATTAAACTACCAAATCTAAGAAGTGACATTAAAAGGTTAACAATATCATTTTAAAGCTCCATTTAGGTGGATTTTGTGCTTCATTAAACAATCTTTAAAGGAATAAAGCCCTTATCTAACATAATGTAATATGTAATAAATAACATGATTTATTTAGCCAACATTAAAATACAAAATCTAAGAACTGATGGACCAAACAGATATTAGAAAGTGAACGATATCCAGTTTTAAAGCTCCATTTAGGTGGATTTTGTGCTTCATTAAACATCTTTAAAGGAATAAAGGCCTTATCTAACATAGTGTAATATGTAATAAATAACATGATTTATTTAGCCAACATTAAAATACAAAATCTAAGAACTGATGGACCAAACAGACATTAGAAAGTGAACGATATCCAGTTTTAAAGCTCCATTCAGGTGGATTTTGTGCTTCATTAAACAATCTTTAAAGGAATAAAGGCCTTATCTAACATAATGTAATATGTAATAAATAACATAATTTATTTAGCCAACATTAAACTGGCAAATCTAAGAACTGATGGACCAAACAGACATTAGAAAGTGAACGATATCCAGTTTTAAAGCTCCATTCAGGTGGAATAAAGGCCTTATCTTACATGATGTATTGGAACATAAATGTAATGTGGGTGAGAAAATGGGAGCCCAGATTAAAGAGAGAGAACATTAAATCTTTGTTATCAGTGGCTGAGATCCACCTGCTGGCCCACTGCTCTAACGGGAGAATTAATCAGCGTAATGCAGCGTCCGGCCTGGCTGCTGCACCTGGATCTGATCGTCCACCTCACTGGACATCCAGCTGCCACTGAGATGGCACCTCTGCTGTTCAAGGACACGGCATGGCAGCAGGGCTTTAATATGGAGCCCAAAAATCCAAATAGATTTAACAAAAAGAATTAAAAAACACTTTTATAATGAAATGCAATTTTTTTCCCTCTTTAGAAGGAATCACTTCTATGGAAACAGTGACTGGCCTGATGGTAAATCACGTTAAATCAGGAATAAGAGTGCTTTATAAGTGTTTTCAAATGTAAACAAAAGCAAACCAAACACGCATTATTATGGCTCCTAATAGTTGGAGTTTTATTTTTAGCACATATGTGCTGACAGACTTATTACATATTTGTTTGTAGTCTTTACTGGCGTTTTATCATATAAGTACTCAAGTTTTAAACTTCTATGACTCAGTAAAAAGTTGTGAAAGAAGAGTTTTCCTTTATTTCTTTTAAAACTGAATCAAACTGGTGATTGGGCTGAGGACGAGAACGCTGTAGTCTCGCGAGACTTTGTGAGACGGTTAGCAGAATCAATTTATGATGCGAATCTAAACAAACATTTCACCAAGATTATTCTTTCGTTTACGATATAATGAATATATAATTAACCGGACCTTTATTAATCCATTGCCGGAAATTTTATTTTTTTGCAGTGAACCCGTCTACAGAAGAAAAATAATTGAATAAACTTTACAACCAACAGTATTTACAAAGCTGCTCAGAGTCTAAATTAGTGTTGTTGCACGTGACCGGGTTATTACAAATAGGGAAGAATGAAATAAATAAATAATAAGTCATTAAATGAAATGACTGTCTCCCGTGTTTTATCAGGTTTATTTAACAGCACATTTAGTGTCCATTCAAAGTGCTTCACAGAGAATTTAAAAGCAGAAAAAACCAAGAAAAGAAAAAGAATAAAAATGAGCTACATAAAAAGTTAAGGGAGCAGAGAAAATCCATCCAATTAAACAGATCTTTTCATCTGGATTTAAACATCCAGAGTAAGGTTCTGTCTCACGTCTTCAGGAAGACTGATCCAGGTTTTAGGAGCCTGGAGCTGAAATGAAGCTTCAGCTGGTTTAGTTCTGACTCTGGACCCCAGCAGGAGACCAGAACCTGGTTTAGTTCTGACTCTGGCCCCCAGCAGGAGACCAGAACCTGGTTTAGTTCTGACTCTGGACCCCAGCAGGAGACCAGAACCTGGTTTAGTTCTGACTCTGGACCCCAGCAGGAGACCAGAACCTGGTTTAGTTCTGACTCTGGACCCCATCAGGAGACCAGAACCTGGTTTAGTTCTGACTCTGGGCCCCAGCAGGAGACCAGAACCTGGTTTAGTTCTGACTCTGGCCCCCAGCAGGAGACCAGAACCTGGTTCTCAGAGTCCAGTTGGTCCATCTGGCTCTAACATGTCAGACCATGAAGAGACCAGAACTCCAGCAGAGCTGTTTTAGAGTCTGTTCTCTGAGAAACAGGAAATCCTATTTTTCTTTTTTTTTTTACTCTATTCAATATTATAATAATTATTATTACAACTTCTTTATTTTCTTTGCATTTCTTGTATTATAGTTTTACAGAACAAAAACATTAAAAGCAAACTGGAGATCAGCAGCTGCTCCAAAGCAGACAAGCTGCTGCCACCTGCTGGCAAACAGGATTGGTGCACTACACTAAACTAAACTAAAGCTAAACTAAATTAAACTAAAGCTAAACTAAACTAAACTAAACTCACCTCTCCTCCCTCTGGGCTCACATGATGCACGCAAGTTTAAATTTGATCGGTAAGTTAGGGTTCGTCCTGTATCTCAGTCTCTACCTGCCAATAAAAACCCTTTTTATTGGTTATTTCTTTATCATTTATTACTTTTTCCATCTCTCTTCTAGAAGTCATTTGTTTTCTTGCTATGTGTTATTATCTGCAGTATTTATTAAGGAGTTATCGTAGGTTTTTGGAACGAATTCTAGAAATTACAGAGTATTCTGATGGAAGATTTGAACCAACACACCAATATTTAACAGAAGTCGCTCCTGGAACCAGTTAGACTCTGTGGAGGTTCTGCTGTACTGTCTCACTTTGAGGACGTAAATAAAAGGACAAACACTTAAATGGACTCAAACACTTTTACTGTAAACCATGGAATAACAAATCGTGTCAGGAATTCTGAGGGGTTGAGTTACATGGAGAAACATTAGGAGGTATCCATGGTTTGGACCGTCTCCTGCACCAGGTCCAGGTCCAGCCGGGTCACGCCCTTAGTCAGCACGCCCGTGGTTCCCCTCTTGTACTTGTAATCACCAGTTCTGCATTCGTGAGGAGGGGCAGGAAAACAGAGAGAAACGTGGACTTACTGAGTGTCTTCACAACAACGTTAGCTAAAACTACCAAAACGGACAGTGTTCATGTTTGTGTTCAGGATTCCAGCTGTCTCCATGCATTTACTTCCAGGACATTGGTCCTAAAAAACTGCGATCTGCCAACTGGAAAACCTTTAAAAAAGTCATTATTGGATTCATTTGACATATTTTTAGCTTTCAAATAGAAAAACAGGGGTAAAACACAGCCTTCAAGGTTTAAATAACCACAGCAACCAAACCCTAACTGGAAAAATAAGTTTAACACAGTCATTTTTGGCTTCTTTTGACAGATTTTTATCTTTTAAATGTAAAAACACTGCAGTTCATGGGTAAAAAACAGCCTTTGCCAGAATGTCTTCACAACAACGTTAGCTACAGTTTGCTTCCTAAAAAGCAGCGACCAGCTCAGGTACTGGTGCCGTTAGCAGCTCTGACTCAGCTTTGATTTGTTAGGGTTAGAAACTACAGACTACACAGCAGAGCACAGCAACCCCACACACAGTAGTCCGGATGTTAGGAGGCATGAGAGAGGCTGGTTAGGGTTAGTAGTCCACCCTCTGCTAGCAGAACACACACATACTCACAGCTGCACGGCCTCCAGCCCACCCAACCTTCATGCACATAAACAGAACACAGGGGCTCCGTTACCGTATTTCCCCTAAATAAGGCGCACCGCGTTATGAGGCTGATAGAGCAGAAGCTCCAGTAGAGGCTGGGGCTGAGTTAGCATCCACCAGAAGCAGCTACGCTAAAGGGAAGCTCAGCTAACAGGCAGATAATCAGTCAGACTTTATTAACAAACACAAACCAAATTAAGCAACAATGTTTAACAGGTAGAGCAGCATTTTTATCAGTAGAGGAGGGAACTTTTCCTCCATTCAGTAAATAACAGAAACAGTCTGATACGTTACGGTAAATCTGTTTTTTGGGGGCTTTCAAGCTGTCTTAGGGGGATTTTGACTGTTTTCTGGGGCTTTAAAGCTGTTTTTTGGCTTTTTAAACA